TATTCATGAGATTTAATACTAATGGTTATTTAGCTTTCAGCATCATCAATAACAAGTCCCATTAGTCCACTGTGTGTTTCATGCTTACTGCATATGTGACACAAAGTATTTTACAGTTAAAGAAGTAACATTCCTTGTTTCTATTCTATGCCACATTTAATAAAATACCAGTAATATGAGCTAAATATGAGCTAACTTAAAACAATCTTTTCAGGACTCATGCAATGGGCACTGTAATTTATCCTGCAGGTAGACAATTTAAATACACCCAAGATCTGTGCTTCAGAAGTTTAAATGCACAGGCTTCATATATGATGACTGATGTATAAAACATTAATATATGCTTATTTTGAAGTCAAAAGCAAAACTTTGTTGTCGTCATGTCAGCATCCCTGACTTTTTAAGAAGAAACAAAGGCGGATCAGCCCATAGTATCAGTTTCTAATTTGTTTTGTACTTTCAATTTACATATTAAAGATGGATTATAAAAGTACCTAATAGAATTTAAAAATAAATTATTTCAGGAAATCCTAACTCATAACTAAATAACATGCTTTTGATAGTCCACATTCTGTGAAGTAAAAATCTCTTATATTGCTCTGAAAACTACAGCTGAAAAGTGTTTATAATAACCTTTTAAAGACTAAATCTACATCAGAAAGGGCACTTTGTTCCTCTACTCAGATTTCTCCTTATAAGCTAGAAGATGACACAAACAATACCTATATCATTTTATCTGAGATGACAAAGTATATCCCTGGATTTATAATAAATACGCACCTACTTGTTTGCTACCCTCTTTATCAGTTGAAATTCCAAAGTGGAATTGGCACATGTCCAAGCACTATGCAAGCGAGAGTTGAATGTGTTTAAAAACTACAAAATAGTACTTTTCTCGAAAGCAGAATATGTAATAGGACACTGATGAGACAACTGCTTAAGGGCAGGGCTACTCAACATACAGCCCGGGGTCTGTTTGTTTGCAACCCGCGATGCGGTTTGGGTTTACGTGGGGCTCCACACGTGGCCCGCAGGTGGTAGCCAAAACAAAGAAGTAGTCAATATAATGGTCTTCTGTTGATATGTGTTTTAGTAGTTAAATTCCTGGACTGTCATTGCTCATTAAAAGTGCTGTCATATGGGTGGAAATCAGGTAAATATTGCATTTTATTAATGTTATAGGAACAGACTAAAATGGGGTCTGTGCGTAGTATAGTTTTGCCTTAATCTTTGTATTGATGCCAAATGAGTCCTTTTCAAATCAAGAATGATTTATGGCTCAAATAAAATTTGTTTCCTTATTAAATAGTGCAATAGATTTAAAAATTCTAATAATGGGGGACATAATGCTGCAAACATTCAAGAATGTGTGTAACTTTAATCATGTGAGCAGTCTCAAACTCAATGTCTTAAGAATCAGTCTGTTGCAAGAGTGGGCAATAAAATAGTGGTGGTTCACAAGGATTAGCCTTGATGGGCTGCTGCTGCTATATTTACCTGCACTTTTGCAGGTATGGGTGACTGCCACTCCCACTGGCTGGGAACAGCGATCTGAGGCCAACGGGAGCTGCAATCCCCCATACCTGTGGAGACCCAGGTAAATATGGTGGTGTGGGGGTTCACCCAGGGCTAACACTGGCACACTGGATCAGGCCTGTGAGCCAGTATTTTCCCACCCCTGGTCTACTGAAGGCATTAGCTAGAGTAGAAAGAGGGTATTAGCCCCTGGAAGCTGTTCAAAGAAGTGTTATTTCGAACTGTGCAGAGACAGTCTCTATTTTCAGAACAAAAATAAGTACAGAAATGAGAAAAAATTGATTATCATAAATTCATTTATATGAGACAAATAAAACTATTCTATACTGTTGAACCTGAGCACCTTCCAACAATGCATTAAGCTTCATAACTAACATCTGTCACATCTTTTGTTCTCTCATCCCTCCTTGAGGGAAAAGCAAGTGTAGCGCTTTGTTCTCTTTGGATAGTTTTTAAAAGTATACATTTTCCTATATAGATATATGTTAGAGAAGGCAGAGTTAAAGAAACATGCCTAGCACTTAGAGCGAAAGGTGATTAAGTTGTCATAGTTTCTAGTTCCTATGACAGTTCATTACATATTTTTGGAACAGTTCCTTAAAGTTATGTCTCCAATGCAGACTAGCTTCATCCTTATTGTGGTTGGCTTCCACTTAGGGGCAAGGCATGGGGACACATGAGGGTGCACATATGCACCCAAATGCTGTGGGCAGGAGAGGCAAGGGGCAGCAGCTGGTGGGACAATAGCCACTGAGTGTCCCCGAGGGCTAGCAGAGGGCCTGGTGCTCACAGCAGGGGTTGGGCCCTCCCATACTCTCTGCCAGCAGTGAGAAGCAGAGCGATATGTGGTTAACTAAGCAGAGCATTTGTTAACTAAGTTATGAATCTGTGGGAGCACCAGGTAATACTGGAGGATTAGATCTAAGATTCTTTTTTACATCTTCAACTGGTCCAGAGACCACAATTAATTTTCTTTGGATATGGACCTGACTAAAGTAATCCATACCTTTTCAATGCAAGATTAGGACCACACAGTAAATCAATGAAAACTGAAGCTAATTCAGGATGTGGAAGCTACTCCATGGTCTGTATGGTTGCCAGTTGGTTCTTGGGTGAATTCATATTAGCCTCTTAAGCCCTAGATAGCTTGGGAGTTACCTATTTGAGATATAGCCTCTGTAACAACGTATTATTCTTTCTATAAATACAGTTTTTCACTAAATATAAAAATGTTGCTTTTAAATACAAGCTTATGAACACTAAATAATAGAGATGCTATATAGTACTAAAATACATTACCGTACTTTAGAGAATATAAACCCACAGGTTATGTTAGTTTTTACAAACCCCGCAACCCCCCACTCCCACTCCCAGCGGGGTATATTCGGGTGCAGGGTATATAGGATTTTTTTTTTCCTCACTAGAGGTTTTTACTCACCGGAGGCTGGTGGTTCCTGAGGCTGCGCAGAAATGGGTGTGTGTGTGTGTGTGTGTGTGTGTGTGTGTGTGTGTGTGTGTGTGTGTGAGAGAGAGGGGGGGGAGAGAGAGGGGTGAGCGCTCCCCTGCCCAGAAGATGGTGGTTCCTGTGGCTGCGCAGGAATGGGGGGGAGAGGGGGGCGGCGTGAGCGCTCCCCCACCTGGAGGCTGGCGGCGGTGAGTAGCTGGCTAATTCCCCCTCCCCCCCACACCATAAATTAGCAAATATACCTCCGGCACAGAAAAGTCTTGTATACCCAGCGGGTTATACTCATGCGCGAGGTATACAAGATTTTTTTTTACTGAAATAGAAAAAACCACGGGGTATATTTGGGTGCGGGTTATATTTGGGTTCGGGGTATATTAGCTAAATTACAGTACTTTAATATATTTTATTAGAAAACTCAGAAGTAAAATAGAAAAAGGTATTTTGGTAATGTATTTCCCTACCAAAATTAAGATGCATATGTGACAGATTATACATTTTCATTTAATTAGAAATATCAGACTTGATGAATTATGCAAAAAACACTAACATACAGAGTTCAGTGTAAATTCTATAGAAACCTGATTAAGGAAAATGATTAACTTATTGTATATAAGCATACCTGTGATACAGTTTCATGTCCAGAACTTTTTCTCAAATCATCTTGCTTCCCAATGATTTTCTGAAGCTAAACATAACAGAAACAGATTGTGTAAACATGTTGACTGGCTTAAAATTCTTGTATTTGTAATTTAGGAATATCTTAGTAACCTAGTCTTTTAATTAAATACCATATTTTTCTATTGCTCTTTTTTGTGACCAAACTATTTGGCATACATTTAAAAGATATTTTGCTCAAATTTTTCTTTCCTCCCACTTTTCTACAGAGGTCCAATCCATCACAGTTCTCATGCTTCAAAAGTTCAAGCAAAACATTGCATAATGAGCTGACTTTTTACTTGTCATTCTGGTCTTACTGATGAAGGTTGTCTTATACTGGGAGCATGCTTTTTTACCATCCACCTCTGAAAAATTTCAAGAATCAAGGATGATGTTACATCCAGGATAATTCTAAGAGGTAAGCATATGAAGATGGAAAATATGCTTCCTTATCCCCCTTTATGAATACTTCTGAAAAGTTCTCAAAATAGTGCAAGACCTTCCTCCCCCCATATGTGGCCAGACAGCCTGCCTCCATATCATCCATCTTATTTGCCTCTCTGAAGCACAGGGCAGAGAAGGAGCAATAATATCAGCATAGTCTATGCTGGCTCATCTGATCCTGAGAAGCTGAAACACAGATATGTGGATAGAGAGCAGCTAAGTCAATAAGCTGGCCTCGAGGCTGCGGCTGGCACCTATGTTGATTCGAACACACAGTCCCAGGAAGAGGAATTTCCCACTGAGAAAACAATGTCCAGTACTTCAAAATTTAATCATCTCAATTCTCTCTTACAAGTGTAAATTAAGTTCACAACTCCCTTGTAAGAACTGGTCTCACAGCAGACAGACCAGCATCAATTGGCATGACAGATAAGAAAGAGAAATACGTGACCTCATGATTATAAAAGATGGGCCCAGCACACACTCACTTTGAGTGTCATTCTACCCTCTACCTGCTGGTCGGGTTAGGTGTTTGACCTCCCGAGGTTCTATGGGGACGCCCACCTCGTATTTTCGTCTTTCCTAGGAATTGAGGGACCGGCCCTGGCCTGACATGCTGGAGTCGAGAGGCACAGAAGGGGGTAAAAATGGTACCTGGATGTGGTCCTCTGTCTTAAGTGTACACATAGAAAGAGTAAGCTGTTACTTGGTACCATTATTTCTATTTTTCTATCTTTATCTTCTTTGTAACCATTTTTAAGACCTATATTTTGCTAATAGTTAAGAAATAGAGCAATAGCCATTGTAACCATATGATTTATAAGCTTCCTCAATAAACCTGTAACTGTTTAAGCTTTAACCTGACTCCTTCAGTTGCTGTAACAGAACCAAGCACAATTTAAAAGAACTTCAGCCGGTCATAAAGGGACAGATATAGGGAGAGCTTGGGCGTTTGGATTTGTGTCACACCCAGGTGGCAAAATTCAGTTGGGGCGCTTCTCAGTCTCCCCGAGGCTGCCCGCTGCGAAGGAATTATGAAATTCTAGCAGCTAAAATCTGAAGCGTAATAAGCTCTTCCTATAAACTCGGGGCGTCTGTTGGCCTGCTGGCCACCCTCTGCGATGGGACCCCGGTCCTAGCAGTAAAGACACGGACGTTAAACCTTTTCTCGGAAACATACACACACACACCGCCCTGACCGTCGGCTGACACCATAGACAATAAAAAACATAAATAAGGCACCATATGGTTAACAAGACTGACTAATTTCAAATCCAAAGCAAGTTATCAAGTCAGGGAAACTACTTTTTTGTTTTTAAATCAAAATGTGGCCTGAACTATTAAAAATAGAATATTCTTGAATATGTCAATGGGTAGAGTTTTCAAAAAGCACCTAAGTTTCATTTTCAAAAGTCACTCAGGTAACATTTTCAAACAGAACATAGTATTTAAAATTATGGTATCAGGAAAAATAGTTATTAATCTGCAGTTCACTATAAATAAGTATCATTCACAAATATCCTAGCAGCAAGCTTTCTTCATGGGTATGTTTTAAAACTGTTCACAGATAGCTTGAGAAGTCAACATATTCCCCAAATTGAGTTAACATAGTACACAGCAAAGTTCACCTACCTTTCATAGACATTTATACCAATCCTCAAATGGATAGCAAAAATAAAGAACAAGGAACTTGTCATTACATTTGGGATAGACATAAATAGAGCACAGTGGACTTCAAGTCACTTAAGGGAGATGTTTTAAAAATCTATATTTATATTGCCACTTTCTAATCTGTTTCTCTCTCAAACACCTCTGAGCCATCTCTCATGCTGTCTTTTATTAATGGGAAATGCTTCCTAACAAAATCCACAAAACCACCACTTTGCCATGATGCCTGAAAAGTTGCACTGGCTGACAGTGGCACTGTAGATGAAGAGGCAAGAGCACTACTTATTGCTTACATGATTGTTACCCTTCTTCTCCAACCCCTTTCATTCTGTCTAATCTACCTGTTGTGCCTCATCAACCTAGATTCTGAATTCTTTGGAACAGGGACTGGCTTTCTGAACGCATGGTCATACAATCTTCAGTATAATGAGGCCTTTATATAAGAAAAAGCCATTTTGTTAAAAACTCCCTTTTACTTTATCTGAAAATGTCTATTTTTTGTTTATATGAAAACACAAGGGATAAAGCAGCAACACTTTTATTCTTGTACAAACCAAAGAAATGTGATTTTTCGTTGGTTATAATGCTTGTGAGAATTTGTTTTTAAATATACAATGTGCTGAAAGCACTCATTCTAGGGTTAAAGTGTAATATTGAAAGAAAGGTGTCTATAAGATGTGTGTTGTGTTGTAAAACTGTACATAAATTCCCCTGACATTCATTATTCATTTTCTAGAAAAAATTATTTGGTCTTCTCAGGAGTTTGAAGAGGCTTTTCCAGGACAAAGGAGGGTGGGAGGGGGAAGTTTGTGGTGAAATAGAGAAAACTGTGCCCTTAAGCAAGAGATTCTCATCACGTTGTAACATTTATCAGTGTTTAATATTTATATCCGTTCATCACAGTAATACACTAATGACCATCATCCTTTAAATAAAATAAGTCAAAGAGGATGAGGCATATTATGCAAAATTAATGCTTCTCTGCTAAAGAAATATATTATTAAGAAGCAATCTTCTCAGCTTTAGCTAAAAGCTTCTAGCTTTAGGAGAATACACTTCATTTTTGAAAACAAAAACAAATTAACAATTTTTCATCTTTTGAATTTGTAACTGAACTTAATGCTGTTAACTCTAGAAACCGTACAAGTATTGTATGTCACATCTCTAGGAAAGACAGAGTAGTTCGATGTCCATGTTCAGCTCATTGGAATTTGTTGGCTTCTAGTTTTTTTGTGATGTTCACATGTGTGGCACTCCATTCAGGGCAGCCCAGAACTGTAAGCTGTATTATTCCTCTGCCTTAGCAAGATTAGACAGTATGTCAGCCCTCTGCCACACCAGTCTGTGCACTTTACCAGCGAATTCTTTAGGACTCGGTTAGCCTTAATTTTGCCATGCAGGTAACAATCCACGAACCACAGTTCAGGAATTCCTCAGAAGTGTCCCACTATAGTGCACAGTCCTTCTTATTGGATCTTCTTAGAAATCAGTAAGTTCATTACCTCCAAAAAGGCGAACCTTTTCGGTTAATTGAAGACTCATTCTATACCTCAATATAATAACGCTGAGATGGTTATAGTAAAACTAAGAATAAGTTTATTCATAAAGAACAAAGATTTAAGTGACACTTAGCAAGAGAAAGAGGCACAAATATGGTTATAAACAAAACACATCCAGTGACTGAAGCTTAATATAGCAAGTTACAGTCTTTGCCTAAACCGTTTTCTTACCTACATCACATTACTAACTCATCCAGCCCACTAAGACAGAGGATCCAGTATTCATGGGAGGATGCAGAAGGGGAGTTGGGGTAGGGTGTCTGGCCAGGAGGGAAGGTGCAGGAGGGTGCTGGATTATGCTGGGGGAGGGAAGTGAGCAAGGAGGATTGGGGTTTGGGGATCTGGGCATGAGGAGGGATGTTTACCTGGCTTTGTGCTCCCTGGAAGTACGGAAAGCCTCTGCACAGTATGCTGTCACTCCCCCAATAGGGTGGGAAGGGAGCTCAGCCTCTCCCCCATGCAGTGGGGATCTTGGCACAGCTGCAAGGATGCAGTACCAGCTCCCCACTCGGAGGGCACTGGGGGGTGGTGGTGAAGAAACCTCGACTTCCCCGCCAGACCAGGCTCATTGCCAGTGGGGTGGGGAGAGGTGGGGGAGAAGAGAGCGGCAGCACAAGGAGAACACCTGCCAAGCCTGAGCACATCGCGCCCTGCAGTGCCTCAGCTGGGCTTCGTATGGCCCCTGCTAGGTTTTGTTTTGGATGTGCCATGCCCCCCGCAGTGGCGGCTGATATAACAAAGAACAAGTGGCCTGGAGGAGGAGGTGGTGCAGCTGGATTGGGGCCTCCGCAAGGCAGTGGCAGTCCTACGGAGGAGAGAGCGCCACACAGTGTGTGGTGTAGAGCAGTGTGTGGCATGATGGCTGGAAACCATGCGCCACCAGAAGCTGGCCCGACTGCCAGCTGGCAGAGCTCCAATGGAGTTTCCTATGTGCTCTGCTGGGTGGCAGAGGAGGACGCTGCTGCACTGCGCAAGGAGCAATGGCATGAAGCCATTTCTCGGTCACTTCTTCCCTGCAAGTCGGTGTCCCCATCAAGTACTGAAACATCTGGTGGGACTTTCCGGATCATTTCACTACTTGATGGGGACACTGGGACAGAGTATTTAAATTCGGGACTGTCCCAGGAAACGTGGGACGTATGGTCAGCATACCTTTAGGGTATAGCATGCAAAGAGAAAGCAGCAAATGCAAAGGTGTGAGAAACAGAAAAAGGACAGGGTCAGATCGGGAGAAGGAAGATAGATTAAGCTGAGACACTGTGAGGGACAGGAAAAGATGAGGTGGGACAGAAGAGGGCATGGTTGGGTGGACAGTGTAATGTTCTCTCTAATCTTTTCCAGCCATGGGTGGATATTT